ACTACTACGACTACTACGACTACTACGACTACTACTACTACTACTACTACTACTACTACTACTACTACTACTACTACTACTACTACTACGACTACTACGAGTACTACGACTACTACTTCTACCACGACCACTACTACTACTACCACTACTACCACTACCACGACCACTACTACTACTACTAGGGGTGACCGGCTCCTGGGTGCGAGCCGCTCCCCCGGCCCCTCCCTACAGCACTCCGTTGGGTTTCCGCACCGTCAGTGTGTTTGTGCGTGTGCGGTGTGCGGTGTGCGGTGCGCGGTGTGTTTCGTATGAGTTTCCTATATGTTCCCTATATGTTTCCTATACGTTTTGTATACGTTTCCTATATATTTCCTATACATGTCCTATACGTTTTGTACACGTGTCCGATATGTTTCCTACATGTTTCGTATATGTTTCTCATATACTTCCTATATGTGTCTTATACGTTTTGTGTACGTTTCCTATATGTGTCCTACACGTGTTCTATACGTTTCCTATATGGTTCCTAAATGTTTCCTATAGGTTTCCGATCTGTTCCCTATACGTTTTGTATACGTTTCATACATGTGTCCTAGGTGTTTCATATATGTTTCCTCGATGTGTCCTATATGTTCCCTATATGTGTCCAATATGTATCCTACATGTTTCCTATTTGTTTCCTATATGTTTCCGAAATGGTTCCTATATGTTTCCTATATGTGTCCTATATGTTTCCTATATGTTTCCTATGTGTTCCCTTTACGTTGTGTACACGTTTCCTATATGTTTCTTATGTGTGTCTCATGTGTTTCCTATATGTTTCCTATTTTTCCCTATATGGTTCCTATATGTTTCCGAAATGTTTCCTATACGTGTTGTACACGTGTCCTATACATGTCCTCTGTGTTTCCCATGTGTTTCCTCTATGTGTCCTATATGTTTCCTATACGTGTCCTACATGTTTCCTTTATGTTTCCTATATGTTGTCTATCTGTTTCCTATACGTGTTGTACATGTTTCCTATATGCGTCCTACATGTTTCCTATATGCTTCCGATACGTTTTGTATACGTTTCCTATGTGTTGCCTCTACGTTTCTTATACGCTTCCTACACGTGTCCTATATGTTTCCTATATGTTTCCTACACGTGTCTTATATGTTTCCTATACGTTTTGTATACGTATCCGATATGTTTACTATCTGTTTCCTGTACGTTTTGTGTACGTTTCCTATATGTGTCCTACACGTGTTGTATACGTTACTATACGTTTTGTTTACGTGTGTTATATGTTTCCTAAACGTGTTGTATACGTTTCCTATGTGCCCTGTATGTTTCCCATACGTTTTGTATACGTGCCCTGTATGTTTCTCCTATGTGCCCTATATGTTTCCTATTTGTTTTCTAGATGTTTCCTATATGATTCCTATACGTGTCCTATACGTTTCCTATATGTTTCCTGTATGTTTCCTATACGTTTCCTATGTGTTCCCTATGCGTTTCCTATATGTTTCCTATGTGTTTCCTGTGTGTTTCCGGCACGTTGATTGTGTGTTTCCGATACGTTGCTTGTGTGTATTTCCGGTACGTTTCTTATATGTTTCCTAAATGTTTCCTATACGCCTCTTATATGGTTCCGATGCGTTTCTTATACGTGTTCTACACGTGTCCTATATGTGTCCTGAATGTTTCCTATATGTTTCCACTATGTTTCCTATATGTTTCCTATACGTGTCCTATACATGTCCTACATGTTTCCTGAATGTTCCTATATGATTCTTATATGCTTCCCATGTGTTTTCCACACGTCTCTTATACGTGTCCTGTACGTTTCTGCTTTGTTTCTGACACGTTTCTTAGATGCTTCCTCTAT